TGCACGTTCTGCGGGGGAGAGGTTGGAGTGGGTGAGAGGGGTGGAGAGGTTGAGGCGATTGATGTCTCGACGGCAGTTGGAGATGAAGAGGTCGAGGGAGGGTAGGAGGCCTTGGGGTGGTGTCCAGGAGGAGGGAGTGTGTTGGAAGCGGGAGAAGGGGTCAGTAGAGGGGGGGTTAGGTTCACGGTCAGAGAAGTAAGCGTGGAGGCGGAGGCGGCGGAAAAACTGCTCTATGTCCAAGCGTGAGCGGTATTCGTTGATCTGTGGGTGGAGGGGGACAAAGGTGAGCCCTTTACTGAGGACTGACCGTTCATCCTCAGTAAGGGGTAGGTCTGGGGGGATGGTGAAGACTCGGCAGGGCTGGGTGCTGCTGTCTCCTCTGGAGCTGCTGGCTGTGGAGGCTGTGGGCGGAGCTGTGTCGGCGTCGGCTGTGGGCGGAGCTGTGTCGGCGTCGGCTGTGGGCGGAGCGGATTTCACAAGTTTTAAAATCTCCCCTCCCCCCACCGCATCCCAAAACCAGTCCAGCTCGTCCCTGCCTCCCTAACCTGTTCTTCCTCCCACCTATCCCCTCCTCCCACCTCAAGCCGCACCTCCATCTCCTACCGACCAACCTCGTCCCGCCCCCTTGACCTGTCCGTCCTCCCTGGACTGACCTATCCCCTTCCTAACTCCTCTCCTCCATCCCTCTTCTATCCACCTCCCACTCTCTCCCTATTTATTTCAAAACCCCCTTCCCCTCCCCCTTTTCTGATGAAGGGTCTAGGCCCGAAACGTCAGCCTCTCTGCTCCTATGATGCTGCTTGGCCTGCTGTGTTCATCCAGCCTTGCACCTTATTGTGAGTGCAGGCAGTTTTTCACTAATGGGGAAAGAAAAAGAGAAAATCCCTCTCCTACATATTCTAATAGCTGTTTGAAAGCAATAAAACAGAAGTCTCGGCATAGGTTTGCTGAAATAACTCCACAGAGGTTGGTTTCCCGTCACCCTTTATTTACACATGGAAAGTCCTGATACAGCTCCCTCAGAGCCAAGTCTTAGAGTGAACAGAACTTCTGACACTCCTGTTCTTATCTGTCAGCCGGGGCTCCCTGATCTGATCAGACTAACAGCCTCCATCAGGGAACTCATATTCTAAGAGGTCGACCTGGGTAAGTTTGTTACAATCACTACCATCATGAAAACAGGTGAAGCTTCAATATTCAGAGTGAGTGAGAGAAGTGTCTTACAATACGACATTAGTACAGCTAGCATGGTGAACCAATAGGAAGTAGACTAATGGTTAATGGTCTTATTTTTTACAGGACTGGCTTGGTGTCCCAAAGGACGCGTTGGAAGGTTTTAAATCAACCTACCGTGAGAATGTGTGTATCGTGAGCGAGTCACCAGTAAATCCTTCCCTGACCAGTGCCCATGGATGGTCCTATGAGCAGTGTGGAATGACACAGATCCCAGGAAAAGTTCCCATTCTTGGCACCAAGGGAGAGATTCAACCAAAAAACACCTCTCCTGCAATGCTGTTTTCTGATATTGCCGTTTTTGTAGAGAGCAATAGGTACGACATTAATGAAAACATCTATGTCAGAGTCTAACATTTGCCATATTTCAAGCCTTTGTGACACTGGAGAAAATCTGTTAACAGTGGTACAAAATCCTGAACGAATCCACAGGCTTTTCAGGAACAAAATTCCCAAAATGTTAAATCTTACAACAATCTCCATAGAGAAACCAAAATAAAAATGTTGAAAAATACGACTGGTCTATCAGGATATTAACTCGAAACACCTGTCTTTCTCTTTCAGAAGCTAATCACCTCTTGAGTTTTTCTCATATTTTAGTTTATATTTCGGCTTTGTAGTAAATTGCGGATTTTTAAAAAGAAATCGCTCGGGCATGTGTAGAAAATTGGGCAAGAGAAAGAGTGCGCATTTCAGATTGGTGACTTCTCATCAACTTAAAACATTAGCTTCATTAGACTCTCCACACCTGCTGTCTGACGTACTGAATGTCTCCAGCAACTTCAGTATTTATTTCAGACTTTCAGGCTCCGTAGTATTTTGCCTTTGGGCAGTGTAAGTATTACCTTACATATAATTCCATATTTCAGGTTTGATTTTCCAATTAGAGGAGCAGTAGTCTTAGGGTATAACAGTTGGGAATTGAAGCCCCTGATCTTTCCCCATCCAGTTAATTTATTGTAAAGTAAGGGACTGAGAGTCAACTACTTAGCACAATGTTGCCTGTGGCTCCCATCACTTACTAAGACCTTCCAACTGGGCATTCAGACATTGGCTTCAAAACATCAGTATTTTGTGTAGCTATAGAATATAAAAGTGGATTTTTCTTCTTAAGGGAGACAATTGAAAACTGCATTTGACCTTTCCTGGTATGAATGCAAGACAGTAGTGGAACAGGTGCAAAATAGCAAATAATAAGAGTTCTTCTAGAATGCATCATGTCTCAGAAAGTAAGTGATGTCATAAGCTGTGAGAAAGTATAAGAGAGCTAATGCACAAGCATTTTGTATGATCTATTGGGTGTGTAACAATCTTAACACAACTTATGTATTATTTTTGCTATTCTTATGTAATACACATATGAGACTGAAAGTGTTTTTTTTTGTTTTTGCCTTCTTTGTTCCACATTATTTTGAAGCTATAGCATCACCAAGTCCGGCTGAGGAGCATAGCAGTGAGCAAGAAGTGACCAGAGGCAGAGAGAGAGCTGGCAGCAGCCTGAACATTGTAACATGGGAGCATTTGATTGTTATTGTATGGTGATGTCAATAGTGACTTATAGCAGGCTGTTTCACATTTTTAGCATGCAGTTTGATGATTAATTAGCAAGTGCTTTACATATATTATTAATCTGTCTCCAGCTTACCTTTAAAACGATGTGCATACAATTAAAGTAACTTAATTTGAATATGAACTGGAATTATGAAATGTTTCAGAAGTGTTTTCTTAATCGTTAAATCATTACTTAAACTCATCAAAATATGTCTTTCGGTTTCTCAATATCCCCATTTCAAGTACATTGCTGTAAATCTTTGTGGAATTGTGCCAAATAGGAGAAAACAAGTCACCAGTCCATGTTGCACCTTTCCCAGCTTTTATTTTCATCCACTTCAAGGATAGCTTAGCAACCATGCATAGATCCCTACTACCTGCCACAGGAATTTACTTCAGCTATCCTGACAGCAATTTACATCTCACCCAATGTGGAAGTCAAGAGCACCTTTAATAAAACATACACCATGACAAATAGCCTTAGACGGAATACCCCAAGGCCATGTTCATCATAGCTGGTGACATCAACCAGGCCAACCTCAAGAGTGTGCTACCAAGATACCACCAACTGTCTCACTAGAGGCCCAAATACCCTGGACCACTGCTACACAATCATCAAAGATGCTTACTACTCAATTCCTGCCCATTTTTGGTAAATTAGACCATAAATCTGTGCACCTTCTCCTGGCATACAAACAAAAACTGAAGCATGAAGATCCAGTACAGAAAGTTGTATAGTCTAAGGTAATGGACAATGGGCTCCTACGTGACTCTTGGAGTCAGTGGACCGGTTCATATTCAAGAACTCAGTGGTCAACCTAAATGTGTACGCCACTACCGTCACAGATTTCATCAGTAAGTGTGTAGAGGACTGTGTGCCAATACAAGTGTTCCCCACCAGAAACCATGGATGAACTGGAAGGTCCACTCCGTACTGAAGTCCAGGTGTGAGGTGTCCAAGTCGGGTGACCCTGACCTATACAGGAAACCTAGGCTTGACCTTTGCAAAGTGATCAGGGATGCCAGGGATGACAATACCAAACTAGAATCCTAGACTAACCACACAAGCACACGTTGACTGTGGCAAGGCTTATTTGACCTAACAGGCTACAAAACGAAGTTGAGTAGAATCGCTGATAACAATACATCGCTCCCCAATGAGCTCAATGCATTCTGTTCTTATTTTGAACAGAATGTCGGTGAAATTATGTCACCTACCCCAACAGCCTCGGGTGCACCCGTGCCCATGGTTATGCTGCAGGCATCAGGTTGGCCTTCTTGAGGGTGAACCCATGGAAAACAACTGGCCTGGATGGAGTCCCCAGCTGTGCACTCAGATCCTGGGCGGATCAGCTGGTGGGAGTATTCACAGACAGCTTTAGCTTCTCCTTACTCCGATGTGAGGTTCCCACCTGCTTCAAGAAGACCACTGTCATCCCGGTGCCAAAGTAAAATCAGGTAGCATGCTTTAACAACTGCCTCTCAGTGGCTCTGACAACCATCATAATGAAGTATTTCAAGAGGTTAGTAATGGCACACATCAACTCAAGCTGCCCAGATTGCATTGATCCACTACAATTTGCCTGCAGACACAACAGGTCCACAGTAGATGCCATCCCCCTAGCCCTGCATTCATCCCTGGAATATCTGGATAACAAGGACACCTACATCATACTCTTATTTATTAACTCTAGCTCTTCCTTCAGCACCATTATTTCAACAAGACTCATCTCCAAACTCCAAGACCTAGGACCCCATCCCCCCTTGGATCCTCGACTTCCTGACCCACAGACTGCAATCAATAAGGACAGGCAACAATACCTCCTCCACTATAATCCTCAACACCAGTGCCCTGCAAGGCTGGGTACTCAATCCCCTACTATACTATACATTCAAGACTGTGTGGCCAAATTCTGCTCTAACTCCATTTACAAGTTTGCTGATGACACCACTGTAGTGGGGCAGATCTCAAACAACAACGAGGCAGTGTATAGGAAGGTAACAGAGAGCTTTGTGGCATGATGTAAAGAGACCAGTCTCTCCCCCAATGGCAGCAAAATGAAGGAGCTGTTTATCAACTTCAGGAAGTGGACTGGAGGCTGCACCCCTGTCTGTGTCCATGGTGCCGAGGTGGAGGCAGTTGAGAATTTCAAGTTCCTGGGAGTAAATATCACCAATGATCTATCCTGGTCCATCCAGGTTGACACTACAGTTAAGATAGCTCACAATCACCTCTACTTCCTGACAAAACTAAGGAAATTCAGCATGTCCACAATGATTCTTACCAATTTTTACAGATGCACCAGAGAAAGTATCCTGGCCGGAAGCATCACAGCTTGGTATGGAAACTGCTCTGCCCAAGACTGCAAGAAAATTACAGAGTATTATGAACGCAGGCCAGTCCATCATGAAAACCAGCCTTCCATCTATTGACTCCATCCATACTTTCTGTTGCCTCACGAAAGCAGCCAAAATAATCAAAGCCCTATCCCACTCCAGTTATACTCTCTTCCACCCTCTTCCATTGGACAGAAGATATAAAAGTTTGAAAACATGCACCAACAGATTTAAGAACAGCTTCATCCTGCTGTTATCATTCTTATAAATGGACCTTTTATATATTAGAGTTGATATTTCTGTGCATTGTCTCCATAGCTATAATACTATCTTTTGCATTCTGTTCTTTTCCCCGATGTACTTATGTAAGGTATCAATTGCCAGGTTAGCACGCAATACAATACTTTTCACTGTATCAAGGTACATATGACAATAAATAAATCAAATCAAATCAGAAATGGCAGACAAATCAATAGCATTTTTGTGAAAACAATTACTACGAAATAATTTATTTTTAGCAGAGGATTGAGTATAACCCTATTAAGTATGTTGGCAATTGTTGGATTGTATATTTTCAAGTCACACATACCCACACACTATCGGTAAATAAGCTAAGTAAATTTGAAAAGATTTTGTTCCAACTCATTTCAAAACTGTTTAGTATATCCAGGAATAGTTCAAGGAAGGGGGGAAGCAATGGTGTAGTGGTAATACCAGACAACTATAATTGTTAGAAAGAAAAGAAAGACATGAAATAATGCAGTCCCATTTCGCTACCTCAGAAAGTCCCAAAGCACTCTATAGCCACTTCAACAATAATGTTAATCTAATAGCAATTACATGACAACCAGACACACTCTCTATACCTTCCTTCAAATTCAAAGTAATAAGAATATTTGTTGCCTCTTCCTGCAAATAAATGAGTGGCATCCAGATCTCACTAGAATACTGGGTAAGAAATCTATTGTGGCACGTGGAGTTGCAGCTGAAAGCTACAGCTAGAACTTATTCTGATAAGTGTTGAATTCATCTTTTGAACTGTGCCATACCTGCCACATGGTTATCAGTTTTTAAAGTTATTCATGAACTTTAAGTTACTTCTGTGCTTGCAAGTCTTCAATTTATGTACAGTAAACCAAAGTGCAGCAGTATCTTAGCTGATAGTAAGCTTTTTAATAAAGACTTTTCAACATATACATCCATTCTCTAGCACGAAGGCCGATCATTCCTCAACCCCACATTGCTGATAAAGCTGGTTATATTAGATGGGGTGGGTGGTGGGGTGTGAGTGGGGGTTGGACAGGGGTGTGGTGCACGGCTGAGCTAATAAGAGCCAGCTTGATGTGCCTGTTTGTTTATAATGGGGGAAGGGGGTGGGAGGGGGTTGGTGGAAAGTACTTTTTGTCTCAGTTTATTTGTTTTAACATTTTGTACCAATATTCATTCTTACATCCAGGAGAGTCATTTCAAAGTTAGGTTGCTAGGCTGATTCCATGAGATCAGCTCAGTGCCCATAGTAACTGGAAGGTAATGCTGTGCATAGTTCTGAATCATTTCCTGTAATTAACAAATACATAAAAACACACAAAATAGATGATCTCTCATTCTGTGTATTTTCTTTCAATTCTTTTTATTGACTTTGAAGTGTCTAAAGTCAATTTCTTGATTCTATTGATGCCCCAGTGAGTTTGTGCATATCTGGGGATGGCCCAGTGAGTTGGTACACATCTAGAGATGGCCCAGTGAGTTTGTACACATCTGAGGATGTCTCAGTAAGTTTGTGCACATCTAAGCAGCTCTCCTGTTCACCAGTTGGATATCTGATTCACAGATATCACTTAGGAAATTACTAAAAGCTGATCAATGGCTTTCACAAAACCGATGTGCATACTCCTGGCTCAACCCTCTCCCAACAAGGGTGACAACTCAAGATTATTTCTGATTATAGTTTATAGGAAACATCACTAGAAGAATATATTTTGAGATTGGAGGTGATGAAGTATGCAGATTCGCCAAAATGATATCTGAGGACAGCTTGTAGAGTATAGGCTCATATTTCCACGTGTGTAGAAGAATAGTGGGGTGATCTAACTATAGTGTTGGAAATGATTGAAGATTTGATGGGGTTGACAGAGAGATACTGTGGTAGGAGAGTCCTGAGCCAGGGGCCACAAGCCTCATTGACATTTCTGAAAGAGTATCTAGGCCTGAAATGTCAGCTTTCCTGCTCCTCTGATGCTGCTTGGCCTGCTGTGTTCATTCAGCTCTGCACCTTGTTATCTCATTGACATTGGAGCTGTGTTAGGTAGGGGTAATGTCAGCGAACACTTCTTCACACAAAGCTCAGTAGAAATCTGGAATTCTTTCTCGCAAATGCTATTGAGGCTGGGTCAATTGAAAATATCAACACAGAGGTTGATAGATTTTTGTTAGGGAAGGCTAATGAGGGATGTAGAATCAAGGTAGACAAATGAAGTTAAACTACAGGTCCACCATGATCCTACTGAATGATGGAACAGGCTCAATGCTGAATGGCTGTGTCTCCATGTTAAGTAATTACAAGCTATGGAGATCTACTGAATAATTCTAACCTAATACTGAAGGAAACATTTGTAGGGCAGATTTTCTTAACAAATGCTTCAAAATCCCTGAACACCCTTCCTAAAAGCAATGTGGATGCATCTACTCCACATGGACCACAGTGGTTCATTGGCTTAGCATCACCCTCTCTGGGGCAATTAGGGATAAGCACTAAATGCTGGATACCCACAACATGTGAGAGAATGTTTCAAAAATAAAGTCCCA